CACTGTTGTAGAATGGGATTAACCTCAGGGTTGGGGAGAGACTGAGTAAGATGGGTTCAATAATGTATACTGCACTGAAGCAGAGGAGGGAGACAACTGTTTAAAAGAGATATGTTACTAGGTATTTCTGTCATCACAGGAGTCTAGAGCGATGGCTACATGGTGGAGGGGACCTGGGGGAGGTTAAATTTGTGTCTTCTAGGTTGCAACACCCCCATGATACATCTTCAAGGATATGAACATGTACGGCTAAGCACAATTAATAACAGTGCATCTAAATTCCAAAATCAATCTCCATAATAGTCTATGTGTTTCCTACTGCCGAAGGGGCCCTTTAGAGTAGTGAGAGAAGATCTTCACCCTGAAACCCACAGCATCCCTTTTCAGCAGGAAGTAGCTAAGAGAATACGCCATCCCCTTTTCCTTATGAATCAGGGTGAAGTTTCTCTCAGGGAGGAGTGATAGGGAATAGCAAAGGACACACTGACAAAGGAGATTAAACAGAACTGGCTTTGACAAGCACTGTGGCAATTGGACAATTTTGACATTCGGAGGGCGGGGGAAGAAGAACAAACTGGGGAAGAGGGTAGAGAGAATGGGACAGCAATGAAGGAATGAAAACCCCAAATCCCTGTAAATGCTCATTAATACTAATAAAATTTAAAAAAAAGAAGATTAAAAAAAGAATAAAAGGTGGACACCTATTAGTAGTGAGCCCATATTTGTGCAAATACGTATATCTGTATCATTTTTTTAGTGTCTCTCAACATACAAACTGTAACAGATCGTTTTTGTTCGTGTCTTTTGAGTCTACCGCCACTCACAGTATCCCAATAAACAACAGATCTGTATCCCTCCCTGTCTTGTGCCAGCCTCATCATCTCTGATCCACTTGAGCCCCTTGCTACAGTAACTGTCAGTCCATCTCATTGAGTCTTCCTCTCTTTCACTGACCTTCCCAAGTATGATGTCTTTTTTCGAGAACTGACCTTTCCTAACAACATGCACAAAGTATGTGAGATGAAGTTTCACCATCCTTTCCCCTAGGGAGCACCTTGGTTGAACTTTCTCTAAGACATATTTGTAACAGTAACAGAATTAGCCATTCCTAATTATTGGTGCAAGTGAAAAGTTAAGTAGATGACTGGTTGCCAACTAAAATGAGGTATTTTATTTTCCCGGGGAGAACTGATAGTAGAGTTAGAAAATGTTCTTGATGTTTTCTCAGTGCGTATTGAAGACTTTAGGAGCCTTAGTGAAACACACACAGTCTTCTCTCAGAAAGATTTACAGCCTGGAAACTTGATGGGTTGCTGAGTCAGCACTGACTGGGTGTCTGCAGTGAGTTGTGGCTCTAAGAATTTTTGTCAGTTCATTTTTTTCTTGACATGATAGCAAATGGAACTCCAGTAAACATTAGCCTTCATTTAGGGATGTATAATGAAATGAACATATAGAAATAGGCAACATTTTCTAATTTCCCAAGTTTTATGTAATTGTTTTCCTGTTTACTCCTTATTAATCAGTTATTTAATTTTTACTGACTTGGTAAACTTGCCATAATTTATGCTTTGTTGTTGCTATTATTGTTAGGTGTCGTCAACTACGACTCATAGCAACCCTATGAACAAAAGATCTGAACCCTGTGCCAGCCTCATACTTCCTTACACATTTATGCTTTTGGTAGAAGAATTATATGCTACTGTAGACACTAATTAGGATGTTACTTTCAGAAAATTTTATTTCTTATAGACTTAAAGATTTAGGTGTAAATGGATTTTGTAAACTATTACCTAATTTGGGAGAAACTGGAGAACATTATGCTGAGTGAACTAACTCAGTCCCACAAGGACAAATATTGTGTAAAACCATTATTGTAGAATGAATATAAAGATCCATGGGGGGAGTGTAGAAGTAGAGGGATGAGGATGTGCAGGAGGAGGAGGGATTAATCATGGAATTGTACAGTTTGATGTGTTGGGGGTGAGGGAAATTGGAAGAATCTGTTCTCAAAAACAATGTATTAGAATTTAGTAAATAAACTAGTATTAAAAAAGTCAACTTGGGGAGGGGGAAGGGAAGGAGAGGTGGTAAATTGTGCAACAATGAATGAATGAATGAATGAATGAAAATCTAACTTTAAACCTTTGTTAAAATGATAATTAACATTAAAAAAATATTTTAAAACAAGACTTAGGTGTAGACTTAAACTTTCAATCCTTTTTTGTTAATAAGTGTTCTGACTATATTTTGAGGCATCAGAATTCTTTGTATCACCAGTTACTGGAATAAACAAAAAGTTTGCTGTCCAGTTCTTTTCTTTAATACTACCCCAATACTCAAGTTTGAAGCCCAAGATCCTGTGATTCCAAAGACCCTGAGTTTCAGAAAAAGAGAAGCAGACAGAAGAGACTTAATCAGTGGGAAAATCAAGCACAATTGCAAAACATATTTAGGAGTTTTCCCAAATGCCTTCCAGACAAATGTCCATGATACAGGAAAGACAAAGACTCAGGAGCAATAATCAGTAAGATTGCAGGTGACCCATAATTAAAATTTTTGGTTGGCTGGTGCTGGTTATTACTTTTATCATTTTGGAAATTTCAGGGCTTTATCTCTTTTTATCAATTCAGATGTCATTCTGAAAGTTCTACTCTGTTAAGTCCAACCTGTTCTCCAAGCGTTCCTATCCTAATGAAAAAGAAAAAGTTACAGTAATTTGTTAACAGTGATAGTCATGAGAGAGACAAAATGGCATTAGTGCAGCCAGCTTCCTCCCTTCAGTGGTAATACATGTATATCAAGCAGAACTGTGTTCCATAGAGTTTATTTTCAGTGGCAGTGTTTTGTTTTATTTTCAAAGACATGTTGTTGTTGTTGTGTACCATTGATTCAGAACCTACCAATAGCTGATCTTCTGGTGAGTTTTCAGAGATAGTTATTCACAGGGGAGAAGATTGGCCATCCTTCTTTAGAGTAGCTGGTGGATTTGAACCACGTGCCTTCAGGATTGCAGCGCAGCTTCTTGCCACTAGGCCACCAGAGACACATTACCAGCACTTTTCTTATGATGCACCTCTTGAGTGTACGGGAACGCTTACCTTTCATTTAGCAGCCAAGCATGTTAACTGTTTAAACCATTCAAGGATTATTAAACTAATAAATGTTTAATCTGTATGATCCAAATTCTGTATATTCACTAATCGGGTATTTATGACTGGGTATAAGTATTAAGGAGCCCAGGGAGTGTACTTGTATCAGACTGCTAACCAGAAGGTCTTGAATTAATAAGCTACTCAGTTTGTGGTTTGTGGCTTCTGTGGAAGAAAGCTCTGTGGTCTCCTCCCAAAAAGATTCACAGCTTCAGAAACCTAATGGAGAGTGACCATGAGTGGGTGGCTCCACAGCAGTGGGCGCTGGATAGATGGTAGAGGTATATATAAAAGAATCAGATTCAGGAATGACACCATTGGGTTTTTTCCTCACATTTCTACCAGAAAAACCCCAACCCCCTTTTTTGGGTTAACTTGACAGTATATAATTGATGTATATATTACAGTATATAATTGATAGCTTTTAGCAAAGGGAAATGAACTAAAATACTAATTAAAGTTACTAATTTTAATTGTGAAATATTACAGACTTTAAAAAGAGTACATTGTTAAAAGTAATTTGACATAATTCTTAGTTTGATACTGATAATATTTTTTTCTATTTAAAGGTTGCTTAGTGCTTTTACTTACTGTTTGCGTCCATCTGTTGAGATATCTAGTTAGTTACCTCTGTGCAGAAAATGAGGCCATATTGACTCTTCTATAAGCATAAAACAAATGGAACTTACTGTCCTCACATCAATTGCAACTCAGTCTATTTTTTAGAAGTTAAAGTCCTGTAATTATTATTTTTTTTTTAAGTAAGATCTTTCCCCAGTACTTGGAAAGGGACATCATGCTTGCCAGGGTACATAGACAGCACAAGAGAGGAAGACCCTCAATGAGATGCATTGATTCGGTGACGGGTGTAATTGGGGCAGTTATGTCAGAGACAGCTGTTTTCTTTGGGTCACTGTGAGTTATAGGTGACTCGTTGGCACATAGCAACGAGATCTTTTCCATTTCTCAGGCCAATAATAATTTCCATATATCAAAATAATTATATATGATAAAAATCATAGCATAGTATGAGCTAATTATATTTAAAGAAATGGTTCACAATATCTGGAGGCTCAACTTTTTCAAAATTACATTCTTTGGGAATTATTATTTGATTGCACTTAGAATAGACAGAACAATGGAAATTTAAAAATTGGGGGGGGGTAAATATTTACAAATAAATCTAAATAATGTTGTTGTTGTTAGGTGCCATTGAGTTGAGTACGACTCATAGTGACCCTGTGAACAAAAGATCTGAACTTATTCCTGTCCTCACCATCCTCACACTTCCTGACACACAATAGCCATTGCAGCAGTCACCATGTCAGTGTACCTGGTTGAGAGTCTTCCTCTCCTTCACTGACCCTCCACCCTTCCCAGGATCATGTCCCTCTCCAAGGAATAACACTTCCTAACAATATGTCCATGTATGTTAGGTGAAGCCTTATCATTCTTGCCTCCAAAGAGCACTCTGGCTGCACCCTCTCCAAGACTTATTTGTTTATTCTCTTGGCCATCCATGAGTGCGCTTCTCCAATACCACAGCTGAAAGGCATCAATTCTTTTTCTGTCATCCTTATTCATAGCCCAGGTCTCAGGTATATAGCTAGCAATCAGAAAGACCATGGCCTGAATCAAACTGAAAAACAAATGTAGGCCTCATGTTTCATTGTTGAAAGATGCTATGAGCAATGTATTGAATGACCCAGAAAGCATCAAAAGAAGATGGAGGGAAGAAATCTAAATAGAGTTACATAAATATAGAAGTAATATAAGTACATTACTGACAATGTGGGCTATTTGAAACATGTTTGGGTTTGTTTTTTGTTTTTTTTTTTTCCCCTGTAGGATATCACTACTCTAACAGGAGTTCCAGAAGAGCATATCAAAACTAGAAAAGTCAGAATATTTGTTCCTGCTCGCAATAACATGCAGTCTGGAGTAAACAACACAAAGAAATGGAAGCTGGAGTTTGATACCAGGGAGCGATGGGAAAATCCTTTGATGGGTTGGGCATCAACGTGAGTACTTTATTTTAATGTAAATTTTGCTTTTAGCTCTTTTTTGTAAGCAGTTTTTTCTTTTAACTACATTAACTTAGGGAGCTCTGGTGCAAATCAGAAGGCATGCAGGTTGAGGCCACCAGCTGCTCCACAGGAGAAGGATGGGCAATCTCCTCCCAAGCTATTAACTGCCTCTGAAAACCCACTGGAGTGTCAGCTGTGGGTCGCTTCCGACACTACGGTATACAACAACAACAATCATTTTTACATAGAAAACATGGTTTCTATATAATTGTGTTCAGTATATTTTTTAAAATAACCTGCCTCGAAACTGTTCATGTGTATCAGAATAGAACTGCATTCCACAGGCTTTTGATTAGATGAATATTCAAAACTGCATCACCAGCTCTTCCCTTCTGAGGTGCCTGTAAATTGCTCTAGTCTTCATTCTTTTGGTTAATAATGGAATTCATTAACCATTTGCACTACTACAGATAATTCTCTCTGTGTTTATTATCCAGTATAATATTATTATAATATTATGTAGGTATGTATATTCCTGTAAGTCTGGCCAGCTTAATAGACCAAGAACCTTTATTGAATAAAAATAGCTATCTTTTGTGAGCACTGTTAGTTTAGTTGCTAGATTCTGTATACTGATCTAAGTTGCCCTTTAAGAATGCTAGTAATACTTTAATGATACTTTCACTTGTTTTTAAAGTAAAATAACACGTTGTAAACTTTTATTTGTAGAGAGTGGAGAATGAAACTGTATTGTTATGTGCCATTGAGTCATCAGTGTCCCATAGCAACCCTATATACAATAGCTCTGAACCCTGCCCTATCCTGATCCCTATCTACCCCAGTTACTGTGTCAGTCCATCTCATATAAATGATTGTCCTCTCTTAGGCTGTGCCTCCACCTTTTCAAGCATGATTTCTTTATGACTGGTCCTTCCTGGCAACATGCCCACAAAATGTGAGATGGAACCTCAGAATCCTTGCCTTCAAGGAGCAGCTTGGTTTACCCCTCTCCAGGACAGACCTGTTTATTCTCTTGGCTGTACATGGTATATTTAGTACGCTTCTCAAGCACTAATTCAAAGGCATTACTTCTTCTTCTGTCATCATTAGTCATTGTCCACTCTCTGATACATAGCAAATAATTGTGAGGACCGTGACCTGAATCAGGCACACCTTAGTCTCTAAACTGTCATCCTGGCTCTTTAGCATTTTGAAGACATCCCTACCAGCAGATTTCTGTAATGTTGCTCATCTTTTGATTTCCTGACTTTTGGTGCCAAAAGTGTTGATTGTGGGGCCAAGCAAGCTGAAATCATTAACAAACTCAGTGCTGCCAAATGGCCCAGTGATGAGAATCTTTGTCTTCTTGATGTTGAGCTTCAATCCATATTAACGACTACAGTCCTTTACCTTCTGCAGCAAATATTTCAGGTCTTCCTCCATTTTAGCCAGCAAAACCAATTTTGTGTCATCTGCATAATGTTGGTTGTTGATGAGTCTTCTTCCAATCTTGATGCCACACTCCTCTTCATAAAGTCCAGCCTCCCGAATAGTCTATTCCACATAATGATTGAAAGGATACAGAGACAAGATGCATTTCTGACACACTCCTTACCTAATTTTGAACAATGCCTAAAATTCCTACATAATCCTTAAAATTGGAAAATTCTGTGGTCTAATGACTGCTTCCTGGTACACAACAACAACAACAACGAAGGGCCTTGAGTTCAACCAAGAAGTTGTCACCAGAGAAAACACTGCCCAGATAGAGAATTTTTGTTCTTACGGAGATACCTAGTACATTACATTATGTCCAGTGTCTATTTGAAAATAGTTATTAGTTAAAATTAACTATTTCACTTTGTTGTTGTTGTTATTATGTGAACTGTCACATCAGAACCGATGCATACCTGACCCTCCAGCGAGTTTTCAGAGATAGGAAGAGATTGCCCATCTTTGTCTCATTGAGTATCTGGTGGATTTGAACTGCGTACCTTTGGATTGGCGGTGCAACCACCAGAGGGTCTTCACAAACACTCCAATAGTCATTACAAACACCACAGTTCAAAAGCATCAATTCTTCTTTGGTCTCCTGGTTCATTGTCAAACTTTGAGTTGCATGTGAAGCAATTGAAAATATCGTCACTTGGATTAGGCACACATCTTTGCTCTTTAGCACTTTAAAAAGATCCTCAAGAGCAGATTTGCCTGTGTAACATGTCTTTTGGTTTCTTGGCTACTGCTGCCAGGGATGTTGGTTGTTAATCCAAGTAAAAACAAGATCTTTGAGAACTTTAATCTTTTCTCCAACTGTAATGATGGGGTCTTTTTTACATATATTTACTAGTTTGTATACAGCCATTCATATACATTTTTTTTTTGCATGTACTGTGTATTTCATACAATCTTTCATTTGCTGTGTGTTTTGTTCATGTACATTGTGTTATGTATATTCATATACATTATATTTTATATAATTAATTTCTGTTGATTTATGCCTATTACCACCATCTTTTCCAGTTCTCACTGCCTCTTTGCTATTCCTTCTCCTCATCTGCTCCCTTATTTCTGCTATCTTCGTGATTTCCCCTTTGCCCATTTCCTGCTCTCCTTGTCCCTTTCACCTTCCCCTTTGGGAACACTTAATATACATCTTGCTCAGTTTTCCTTTTATTTTCACACTATTTTATTTTGTCCCGGTGGGACTGAGTTATTTGTTCTGTGTAATGTTTTCTAGCCTCTCCCGTGTTATATAGTATTTTATGAAATCATTGTTCTCTAGTGCGATGTATTCCATTGTGTTACTGTATCACCATTTCTCAATTTATTGCTGGAAATTTGAGCTGTTGACATTTTCTTGCTGTTGTGAATAATGCTGCGATGAACATAGGTATACATATCTCCCTTCATGTCTCAATTTTCTTTTCCTTGGGATATATTCCTAGCAATAGAATAGTTGTGTCCTATGTAATTTCTATTTTAACTTTTTGAGGAAACGCCAAAATGCCTTCTAGAGTAGTTGTATGATTTTTACAATCCCTCCAACAATAAATGAGAGTTCCAGTCTATCCACACTCTCCATTATTTAATGCTTGCTGTCCTGCTAAACTTTGCTGCTGTTACTGAGGTGAGATCTCATTGTTGTGGGGGTTTTTTGGTTTGTTTTTTAAAATTTTTAAATTTTCTACAAGTTTAGTTACAAAATTCAAATACATAGTTTTCAAGAACAAATTCTTTCCATTTCCCTCACCCCCCCACCCACCAAATTATACAACCCATGATTAATCCCTGCCTTCTCCTGCACATCCTCATCCCTCTGCTCATTGTTGTTTTGATTTTGATCTCTCTGCTAGTGATTTTGAACTATTCTTTGTGTGTCTGTTAGCCATCTAAATGTTTTTATTTGTGAAGTGTCTTTTGCCCTTACTGTGATTGGCTTATCAGTCTTTTTAAAATCAAGGCCCTGTCATGTTCTGTAAACTTTCTTTTAGAGATCCTTGTCTGGAAATCAAGATGGTGGCGGCAGCAGATACAATTAATGCAAGGAGCTGCAGGAGCAGAAAGCTGCATAGAAATGGCCCACCATGGCCCTCTGCAGTCTTCAGTTTATCAATAATTGAATAATTAAACAGTTCATTACTGATCTTTAGTATGGATTGAGTCTCAGTATCAAGAGATCAAAGACTCCCAAAGAAGAATGGGTGAGTCCCACGGCTCACAGCTCCCCATTGCCAAGCCCACACCACCGCCACAGATTCTTGAAGCCTCGGCAGCTGAACTCCAGGGATACCCTCACCTGGGATGGATTGCAGGCACTGAGCTCCAAGGCTGCTGTGGTGGAGCCTCCACACTGTAGCAGAATAGACTTGTTCTGGGATGAATTCTAAAAACCAGGATGGCAGTGGCAGAAGACCTGGCAAGCCATTTGACTGCTGGTCATCAGTGTGGACTGGAGCTCAGTATCAGGAGGGTGGTGATTCTCAGGGGAACATGGGTGGGTCCTGCTTCCTCTCTCTGCCTGCCACTGAGCCTGTGCTGCCGCAACCCCATGGGGCCACCATACCCAGGGCCCATGGATCCCCTAGCCTAGACCAAGCTGCAAGCACAGGGTCCCACAGCCAGTGTGGTAGAGTCCCCACATGGCCGGCAAGCCATGAGCCCCCAGCACAGGAGGGAGGGAGCAGTGGCAACGGCAGAGGCAGAACCATGGAGCCTCAGGAGGTGAAGGACTTGATACGGACAGGCCAGAGAAGATGATCAACGACACAATGGATTGATAACTATGACTTGTCTACTACTCTATGACACTTAACAACAGCAACATATCAGAGATGGCAGATATCCTCAATACACCACATCTTTTGATGTCTTGGCTACTGCTGCCAGGAACTGTTTAGACCTATGGAGGATCTGTCCACCGCTCTTAAATGGTGTTCACAAAATTGGAAAATTATCTGCAGAAAACTCAAGCAAGATCCACACCTCACTTCATATACAAAAACCAACTCAAGGTGGATGGATCATGGACCTAGGATCAAAATGAAGAACTTAAACTTCATTAAACAAAACCTTGGAAGAACTCTAGAAGTCCTAATCCTAATCCACAACATAAACAATCTTCCAAGCATCCTGAAAAATCTACAACCAGAAGAGGATAAAATAGATGAATGGGACCTTCTAAGAATCAAATACCTAGGCATATCCAAAAACTTCTCCAACAGGGTAAAAAGGGAAGCCACAGACTGGGAAAAAATATTTGGTAATGATACATCAGATAAGGGGCTTCTATCTAGAATTTATGAAATACTTGAGCACCACAAGATAAGCAACCCAAATGAAAAATGGGCACAGGGTAAGAACTGACACTTCACCAAAGAAGACATTCAGATAGCCAAGAAGCACATGAAGAAATGTTCAAAATCCCTAGCTCTAAGAGAGATGCAA